CTAATGGGTAGGGTGGTCCTAGCTGGGCAAGCAGTGGGAAGCTTGCCAGACAGTGTTCTCTTGCTAAAGCTTATGATTTGGCTGCATAGTTTCAGTGAATATCAGTCAGGTACTGATGGGTTTTACAGGAAAAATAATTATGATGGAACAGCTGCAGAAATGTGATCTGGTGATAATCCTCAGACTGTATTTATGTTATACTGTGCAGATCTATATACAGGAGAATGGCAAAGCTTTACAACACATATAGCTAAGTTAATTGTATTTAATTGAATTTTAGTCGGATCAGCTGCTGGTTTCATATACAGCATAATGCCCTTTTGTTTTCAATTCTTCCTTCTGACGACTAAGTCATATCTCTGCAGGATATTTAATACATTTATTGGTGAATCACCTTGAAAATTATTAGCCATGAAAATTGCAGTACCCAGCTAGTCCTGCTATTATGTGAGCTACTCCTACAAATGATCTGAATTTCTACTACTTGGATTTGGTGATTTGTGTACTTTGATATGAACCACATACAGGGCAATAATATAATTTTCCATGGCTCTCACCTGCTGTTCCTCCAGGTTTGACTGCACAGTAGTGTATGTGAACTGTTTTACACTGCAGCTAGCAGGAGACGAATAAATTGTGTATCAACTAATTACTTGTATTCTTTGGAATATACACTAAACCTGTTCATTTTCAGTGTGTTTGTAAATTTTACCACAAATTGTTGGTTCTCATTTATTACGATTCGATAAATTAAATGTAAGTGTTAGAATGGTCAATAAAATATACAGCAAAAATCACCCAAGTACTGTGTTTGTGTGCTTACTTTAGGATTTCAACAAAAATAAACTGCAATATCAAATGCAATATCAAATTGTTAGATATAAAAGAAACTGCTGATTGTGAAACAGAGGCAGATAGTCAAGGTTCCATTGCTGTACTGACTCAGCTGATCTCAACTAGGGGCAACAGTAAAGTTACCATGTCCAACTATTGGCCTGAAATAATACTAATAATCCTTGCATTTGATACAGCGCTTTTCACGTCTTCTGGATGCCTCAAAGCACTTCACAGAATATACTGTAAAGTGAATTTACTATATTTTGTGGGTGAAACGTGCAGCCAGTTGCATAAAGCAGCGTCCCACAAACAGTCGTGGATTGAGTGACTAAATCATTCTTGTTTTTTTTCTTGAGGGATTATTATGTGTGGAATAAGGAAACTTTGCCCAAGGTTTCGCCCTGCCAGGAATCAAACTCACAACTCTCGCTTGCTAGGCAAGTACTCTAACTACTGAGCTATAGGTCTCCTAGTCACCTAGTCTAAACCTGTAAATTCATTTTATCTTGAAATTTAAGATCAGGCATAATTATTGGCCATTCTTGAATTAAATCTTAATTTTTCCAGTGTTCTTAGAAATGTAATCAAAATTATGACTCAACTGAAGGTATTTCCACATTTTCGCATGATCCTCATTGTAACAAAGGAATGGTTTTACCAGCTGAGACTGGGTGGATTTCTGTACCTGCCTCCCGCTGAGCTTTGCACAGACAATTTGTTGCCTGCGCAAAGGATATCTGCAGGTGGACGAGGTAGCTTAGTGGTTAGAGCACTCGCTTCGCAAGCGAGAGATCCTGGGTTCGATTCCTGGGCAGGGCAAAATGTTATATCAAATGCAAGGATTATAATTATTATTTCCAGGCCTCAGCTCTGTACATTTCAACTCACTGACTGTCATTCTGAAAACAATACTTCTGAAAAAAGTACAGAAAGTTATTTTGATCAGTTCATTACAAGACCTGTACAAATGATCTCACACATATAAACACACCAGTTGTTTTTGATAGAACAAGAAAGATAGCACAACTCAGTCTGGCTTTTGCGTTTTTGTGCAAAGCAAATTAACTGAGTATAATTCAGAATGTTAGAGCAACGCACTGTCTGTGCAAAACTCAGCGGGAGACAGACACAAGCTTTCTCTGATGTAGTTCCATTGTGTTTGTGTTGTTGAAAGGTGTGCTACTAATGCATCATATACCATTTCAGCATAAGAAAAAAAAGTTTTTTCCCAGTCTCTGGCCAACAATCCCTCTGGATAAAATTGATCATTCACTTCATGTCTGTTTGTGGAACATTGCTATGTGGAATGAGGCTGCAGCATTCACCTATGAATATACTGTCACTACACTTTACAGAAAATCCTGTGAAGCACTTTGGGACATTCTGACGACATGATAAGCTGCGAAATCAAATTTAAAGATTATTATTAAATCATTTAATGTTCAATCCAGATCTGAAAGAAGTAGCACAATGTTACACTAAAGTGCCTTTCATTGATATAAGATAGTTATAATCCTTGCTTTTGACATAGGACATTATCAAGTCGTTGAGACGTCTCAAAGCTCTTAGCAGAATATATTTTAAAGTGAATTGACAATATTTTGTGGGTGAAACACAGCAGCCAATTGCACACAGCAGTGCCCTATTATTTTAAGGAATAACTACCCATGGAAAGCGATCCGCCAATTGACTAACGACCAGGTCCCTTACTGCCTTACATCCTTCCAGAATACCAACCTATCAACTCCCATCACAGCATCAAGCTATTTTTTAAATGAGTCCACGGTCCATGCCTCAACCACTCTTCCCGGTAACGTGTTCCAATCGTTAATTACTCTCTGGTTAAATACTTCCTGGGGTCTGTCCCAATATTACGTATTGCTGCACTAAAGTGTAGCTATTTCTTCTACTTTGTGGGAACATTCTCTACTTTGTAACAACAGCACCATCTTGTGGTACGTGACACTGAATCCGTGCCAACCCCTAGGCATAGTGCTAAATATAGTGCTGACGGATACTGAATCAAATACACTTGTTAAAAGACAAAAATAAAAATAAATAGGATATTGGGTGCATAGGTTAAAAGACTTTTTCCCTCAAAAAAAATCTAAATTAATTTCAGATTTTTGTATGCTTTTCTAATGTGATTTGAGTTCTACAAAATAGGAAAAAGATATTGTTCCATCCACAGTTGTATAAAGTACTGGTTGATGAGCTTTAGTGGGGACCATCACTCAAAGAATAATCCACAGGCGGTTCTCTGGACTGAAGGCACTGGAACAACAAAAGATCTGAAGGCTATCTCCTTATCCTCAGTGGATGTCAAAAGGCCTAAGACATTTCTGAATGGCAACATCCCATTTATGTGAGCTTTTTGAGGGGGGTCAGCTGGGTGTCTGACACATGTGGAAACCTATCACCATGCTTAAGAGTATCCAAACCAAGCTGAGAGTTCCATGCTTCCCATCTGTACATTTTTTTTACACCGATAAACTTTCCATTCTTTCCATTGAACTGTTAGTTAAACAAACATGTAGAATATAAACCTCTCGACAAGCAACATAATAGAGGGACAAAGAATAAGTGGATTTCACTTCCCGGCTATCTGTGGGACATTGATATGCACAAATTTAATAAATCCATTCATCACACTGAGTGCAAGGCACAGGTTACCTCAGCCAATTGCACACTTCAGACGCTGACAGCATTACCATCCGTGGTTGCACATTCCACCTCACTGAGCCAGTCTGGAACCTTGGGGTCTTGTTTGACCCTCAACTATCCTTTCTACCCCACATTGCACCATGACCTGCTCTGCCTTCCCCCACCTCCGCAATGTGGCCCAGCTCCGACACTATCTCACACCGCAGGCCACCAAAACCCTCAAACCCGCCTTCATTACATGGAAATGCGACTATGCAAACTCATTGCTTGTCGGCCTCCCCAACTGCTCCCTCCACAGGCTGCAGATCATCCAGAACTCTGCAACCCGTGTCCTCTCCCGCACTAGGTTCTGCAACTTTATCACCCCCATCCTCACCTGACTCCACTGACTTCCCATCATGCAGAGGATAAAGTTCAAGATCCTGGTCCTCAGCTTCAAAGCCTTCCACGGTCTTCCCCCCCCCCCCACCTCTGCGACCTCCTAACCCCCTACCATCCTGTTCGCTCCCTCCGCTCAGCGGGTTCTGGCCTGCTTCACGTCCCCGCCTTACTCGCCCCACTATTGGCGGGCGGGCCTCCGCCACTCTGCTCCCACCCTCTGGAACTCCATCCCACAGTCCCTCCGTCTCGCCTCTGCCCTTGCCTCCTTCAAGGCCCATCTCAAGACCCTCCTCTTCGACCGTGCTTTTGATCTCCCTGCTTCCCAACCCGCTGCCCTCCACACTCCCCCACCCCTTCCCCCAGCTCAGGTCCATAAGTCTGTCTGTCCAGCGCCTTGGGACATCCTCCCAACGTGAAAGGTGCTATACAAGTGTAATTTTGTTGTTGTTGTTACACATCACCTCCACAACCTAAGGTTTTATTGTTTAGGGTTTTGAAGCTGGAGCATATCATTATAGTACACAAGGCAAGGAAATCCTGACTATCGAAAGTAAGTCCTTCCAATTCTGTAACAGTGAAAAAGGTCATTTTCTTTACCCTGACCAGACGCCACTGAAGTTATTCCCTACATTACATTTGCAGCTTCTCATTTCTATTTAATCTTGATGATTTAAAAAAACAATCCTTTGGTCAAAGCCATCTATGCTCATTCATTTAGCCCACCTGAGTTGCTAACACATGTTTGTTCCTACTATGTATCGATGGGTAAGTTATGCCACTGTATGTTCACGGTAGCTGTGTAGACACAATCACTGAAATATAATTTGCACTATAATGGTGCTTTTGGCAAATTAAAGTTGATCAAAAAGTTAATTCTGATGTTTTCCTCCATTCAAGTAGTTGATAACAATCTATCAGTAAGGACATGTATTTCCTTTACTTATTCTCTAAAAACAAAACAATAATAAATTGGTCATTTTCAATCTACGACTGTTTGTGGGACACTGCTGTGCGCAATTGGCTCCCCCGTTCACCCACAAATATACAGTCAATTCACCTTACAGTATGTTCTGTGAAGCGCTTTGGGACGTCCTCCCGACGTGAAAAGCGCGATATCAAATGCAAGGATTAAATTAAATTAAATTATTTGAAATATCTTAAATATCTTTGAGTGCAATTTGATCTCCTAGATTGGAGTCTATACATTCTGAATAACTTCCCCCAGGTTTCAGGTTTGAATGAAATGGCAAATGGCTTTTCTGAAGTATGTGACTATTAGTAACACAAGATCAGGAGAATATGTGATTATACATAAACAAAAGGGTGAAATGATCAATAACAGTAAAGGCAATGCCTCACAAGATCGTTAAATATTTACAAAATGAAAATTAGATAAAATATTACAATTGGATGAGACTGCAATTGAAAGACTGTAATACATCAACCAGTTAACCACTTGACTGAAACTGATCTTTGCTCAATTTTTAATTGTTTTTCATTATAAAGGATCTCCCCAGGGCAAAAAAAAACAGACACACGTTCTTGCTGTGCTAAACTTGTGAATTTTTAAAGAAATCGATGTCTGTGAAAATGTTACTGACTGGGCCCAGGTTGTAATCATTATATAATCCTTATAATTTTTAACTGTTCAGCAGAAAGGATTTGACTCCAGGATTGGTCAATTTATGGTAGATTGATTAATTTCTGAACCTTCCAAAATACTGTACAGAGTGTTGAGTTTTATTTCCGAATAAGGCTAGTTCAAACACTCCGAGGTGCAGCCCTGCGTGAAGGAGCTATATAAATGCACATTGTTGTTGTTGTTATAGTTCAGTTGGCAGTCTTTGTAGTTGGTAAATTATCCCACTGTCCTTGTACTTGTGTCAGTTCAGACAAACTTATCACCCAGTTACGGAATCTGTAATGCATGATAAAGAACATTAATAAAGATCAGCAGTTGGTGAATGCATATTATCTTATAGTCATTGATTCATAGGAATAGGAACATGTGCAAGCCATTCAATCAAACCATTCTGGTCTACGATTTTATTAACTTGGCTCAGTTGGTAACACTCTTGCCTTTGAATAAGAAGGTTGTGAGTTCAAACCCCATGTTAGGACTTGGAACTCACGTCGTCCAGGCAGACACTCCAATACAGTGCTGGGGGAGTACTGCATTGCCAAATATGTTGTCATTTATTCCATGGATGTTCGTGGGACATTGCTGTGTACAAATTGGCTCTCATGTATATCACAGTCACAAATATGCAGGCACGGCATTTTTTAAAAATTGTGAAACAAAAATTTGAAACAAAAACTGTACATGTATGGAATTATGTGGATTTCTCAATAGTTTGGTTTGAAAGCTCTGAAGCATGGTGATGGATTTCCATTTGCGTCAGATTCCTGGCTGAGAATTTGTTTTAAAGTACAGTGAGTTAGTGAGTAGAATTTTGCTAAACATACATCTAGGGCCTGATCTGGTTCCTCAGTCTTTCCATTTTCTACAGCATCGTTCTGACCACAAGATGAAAGGAATGATTCTTCCCCTGTAACAGAATAAGATAAAACAATAAAAACACCTCTAGTGCCATCACAGCAGTGGAAACTGCATTAATATATTCAACTATTGTACTAATGAGAATTGGGCGGTGGAATGGATTAGGCTGGCTCAGTTGGTTCAAACCCCACATCAGGACTTGGAACTTATATTGTCTAAGTTGACACTCTGATGCAGTTTACTGCATTTTCCTTCGAATGAGAAGTTAACCCCAGTTTACAGTATATCCTGTGAAGTGCTTTGGGTCATCCTCCCAACGTGAAAATTATCAAATGTAAGAATTATCATTATTATTAGAACAGTCTTTCTTCAACTCTTGTGACCTGGATTTGAATCCAGCTCTAACTAATGCGATGAATATTCCCCCCTTTTCATGAAATGAGATTGTCTAGTATCACCCTGATCTCTAGTCAGTGTGAGTTCAATACACGAACACGCTCGCAAGATTACAAGGTTGGTTTAGCAGAAGAAGGCCCTTCAGCCCATCTGCAATGACTTGTCTTTGAGTGTTGTAATTCAAAACTGTTATACCGTAAATAATAATAATAACCCTTGCATTTGATATAGCGCTTTTCACGTCTTCTAGACATCTCAAAGCGCTTCACAGAATATACTGTAAAGTGAATTGACTGTATATTTGTGGGCGAGCGCGGCAGCCAATTCTGCACAGCAATGTCCCACAAACAGTCGTAGATTGAAAATGACCAATTTATTATTGTTTTATTTTTTGGAGGGATTATTATTAGGCGTGTGGAGTAAGGAAACTTGCCCAAGGTTTCGCCCTCTGCCTGGAATTGAACTCAGGTCTCTCGCTTGCAAAGCGAGTGCTCTAACCACTGAGCTACAGGACTCCACAAATGATTTGGGTCTTGTGGAATCTAAGACTTGTACATACCAGCCTCCATATAAGTTGGCTTTACAGAGAGGAGAGTCACCTGGTCTTTCTTGATAGGAGATCTAGATTAATTGGTGAAAAAATATATAATCAGTAGATAATCGCTTTTATATTATATTTACAACTGCTAGAGATGACTCTTCTGGCAAGTCACTGAGGCAACAACAACAACAACAACAAAATTACATTTATATAAACACATCCGAGGCACACTCCTTCACTTGTGCTGAATTAGCTGAGTTTCTCCTTCTACCCCTGTATATCTACATGTTTTAAATGTTTGTAAATGACTCCCATCTTTACCTTTCCTCCAGCTCTGCAAAATTGCCTGTCTCTACCATTATCTAACGCTCTTTGCATCTGAAACTCTCATTTATGGCTTTATCAGTTCCAGACTCAAATTTTCCAATACTCTGCTCACCAGCTATCCCAGCTCAACCCTTGACAAGCTATAGACTATGCAGAACCCTGCAAATCTCCACAATGTCCTGTAAACCTATTACCCTCTCATGCTCGCCCAGCTCCACCAGCTTCCTATCCCCACAGAGGATCAAGTCGCCCTTGCCTCCACGGTTTTGCTCCATGCTATCTCTGTGATATGCTGCGTGTCTACATGGCCACTGTCTCCTGTCCGTCAACTCTGACCTGCTTCATGCTTTCAGATCTCCTTCCAGCTTTGCCCCGTCATCTGCCACTTTGTCTCTGCTTCTTGAACTCTCTTCCTAAATTGTCTAACCTCCTTTCTCTTTTTGATTTCAAATCCCATCTGAAGACCCATCTCTTTGACTGTGACTGTGCCTTCGGCCACCTCCCCTCTACCCTGGAGAGGAGCTGACGTCACTTGCTATGGGTCCCCTCCACATGGAGTTTACTTGATCTGCAATGTTGGACTCAATTAAGTTAATTTGCTTTATTCCTGGCTGGCATGGACTGTTTCTCCTGTGCCCGCTACAGTATGTTTACTGCATTTCCCCTTCCCTTGCCTTGTTCAAGACCCATCTCAAGATCCTCCTCTTCAACCGTGCTTTCGATCACCTGGCTTCCCCCCCTGCCCTCCACCCTCCCCGATCCCGACCCCCAGCTCGGGTCCAAAACACTGACTGTCCAGCACCTTGGGATGTGCTCCCAATGTGAAAGGGCTATACAAATGTAATTTTGTTGTTGTGTTGAATGTAAGAATGAAAATACAGCTATTAGATTGGAGATTTTGCCTCATTTATCCCCATTTGCTGCATTGCATTTACAATCACAAGATCACAAGAGATGGATGAAGAAGGCCCTTTGGCCCATGTGATCTCATCCCTGCAGAATACCACCCTACCACCTTCCCACCACTGCATCAAGCTTTTTTATTAATCTAGTACCCTGGGCTCAACAACCCTTCAGGTTAACCTATTCAAGCTGTTAAGGGTAAAGATATATTTCCTGGTGTCTATTCTGAAATTGCCCTTTGCAACTCTAATCCTATACTCTTGTATAGGATTATATTATATTATAATCCTATACTTGTAATCATTGCTCATAGCTCATTCCTCTAATTCTGGGATCATCCTCGTTGGGACTATATAGCTTGAGTATGATGTATGGGGATCTAACCCTCTTGCCTTGTTAATTGTGCCTCACACTGTTTTGGCATAGTAAGCGATGAGTCAACTAGCACCTTAGATCTCTTTCAGCTTCCCCTTGACAAGCTCTATCCTATCTACAGAGTACATTAGTTTCCTATTCTTACTTTGCATATGATGTATCATTTGCATTTATCTGTATTGACAGTGGGTCCAAATTACCTGAGCAGCTTTTACGTTTTCTTTAGTTTTGTTCTTCCCTCTGGAGTGTTGGTGGATGGAAATGTCTGGCAATGTGATTGCAATGTGGGAGGCAATTTGGAACATAATTTAAGCATTTTTTTAAACCAGGATAACAATGATGGCAGCACAATGATACTATTGTAACATGATGTGATATGTGCTCTTTGTACAATAAGCTGCCTCAGTAATAATAAACCCATTGCCTTGCAGACTGATCCTGACACTATCAGTAACATCAGAACAGATAATATTTAACTATATAACTATAATGGACTTCACTATAGGCTTTATCTATCTCCAAATCATTATTCTTAAGGTTTACTCACATGTCAGATGTGCCATCATTTGTCTCTGTTTAAATAAAGAAAATGATTCAGGAAAAATGCAGGTGAAATGAAAACATGCCACGCTTTAGAACATTAAAAGATATGGGGCAATTCAACATGGCCACTTTAAAAAATCTGCCAAAAATCATAATTTCTAATCTCAAGAGATATGTGGCACAGAAGATTAAATGCATTTTATTCATCTACAAATACACGGTTGCTACATTTTACAGTAAATCTTATGAAGCACTTTGAAATGTTCCAACATATCAATGAAATTACAGGTAAATATATCAATACATTTACATTAACAAGAACCAAAAACAAACCTAGCTATTTCTGGATACAATTTACTGGCTGCTAACATAGTGATCCAAAGGAGACCGGTCACAAATTCTGTAAATAACCTATGTATATTCCATCTGCAACAAGCAGAACGTTACTGTTAAATGAATGCATCACTATTAATATATTAAGGAACGACAAACTGCTCTTTATACTTTTTTGCAAATATTTTCAGACAAAATACTGAAAAGTACAAGTTGCTGCACCTTGCTTTTTCTGCCGATAGTTTCTGCACATACAATTTTGGCACTTTTTGCACTTCAGAACAATCAGGCTGATAAGAATTCCCATGGCAATTGTTAGGAGTAACACCAAAATGATGTTTTCTGATATGAGAGAAACAAGAACAGTATTAATCTTAAGTTTCAACCAAAACAGCGAGCATGTTTGAAACGAAAATCACAACTACTGAAAAAATACAGATAAACATAAGCATCATTATTACTGCAGCTAATAACATGAACCCCATTAATACTGCAGCTAATAACATGAACCACATTAATACTGCAGCTAATAACATGAATACATTTGATACATCTCAACATTCGGTTTGCTTTATTTATTGACACAGAGCATTGTTGCGAGAGCTTCAATTTATTGTCAATCAGGACCCCCAGGTCCCTTTTATTTTCCAGGCAGATTATTTTCCTTCCGTTCAAATAATAGTCCTGATAATCGATACTGTTGTTATAAAACAATAGTTGTTCTTGTGTTTGTCACTCACTTTTGAAGAAACTTGTTATATCACACTTTCCACATTATAAGTAGCACAGTGTAATGGTAGAACAAATGTCCATGGAGATTTTGTCCGCTGTTGTTTGGATTTAGGAATAATAATTGACACCTGATTGATGAAGAATAGAATGTAAAATTAATGGTTCTTACGAGGACCTGAAGGTCTGAGTTGTGAAGGTACAAATAAATCAGAAACATTCTTGAGAGTGTCATTCGTAGATGAAAATGTTCCTAGTAATTGTAAAGATAATACATGTCATATAGAATCACATTATAGGGCTGAAATATAATAGTCAGGATTTGCAAAACATTAGTAAACCTTGTAACTATTTGTCACTTTACATATATTTAAGTGGAAACCTTGAGCCCAAATTTCAACCAGTCTTAGCCGTTAAAATCATTTTGTCTTGAAATTTAAGATTGTCCAAAAATGTGGATGATTCTTAATTTGGGATTAACTGGATTATTGAGGCATTCCTTGAGACTAACACAAGGGAGGGGGATTAATTAGTAAATAGAGAACGAAGAGCAAAATGCCAACTCGCCACAGCTGTCAGATTCGCTCTCTTGCTTTTCACGTTCTGCAGTTTTCAGAATTTGCAATTAGTTGTTTTACAAATGAGACAGGCGAGAGGATAGCTTACCAGAGATCAGGTCAGAGAGTAAATAATTTGACAGCTGTTGAGAGGGTACATTACCAGAGAGCAGGTGAGAGGGAGGTGTTATCAATACAGTTTTTGAACAAAATTTGATAAACTCTGGAACTCTGATTCAATATCTCCACCCTCTCTCTGATACAGTTACTTTTCAACATCCCATACAGCAATACCTCAGACTCAGAGGAAGGAACAGGCTGATCTCCCGGGTGACACAGCTGCTACAGTTTACCCAACGCAGTGAAGTGCTCCCTGGTATCGTGTCTGCCGATTACCTCCCCCTCCCCAAACACACACACAACCCCTGACCTTTCCCCTCTCATCCCACTCACCTCGCCCCAGATCCCACTCACCCCCCCCCATCCCACTCCATCAGAAAATATTCCCCTTGGAGCTCTTTGTGCTGACACTTGGACTCACATTGTGAATTATTAAAGAAATCGTAGCCAAGGAGAGGCATTGCGATGGGGAAAAGGGAGAATCTCGCCAACTAATTGGAAATTGAAACTCCATTAACTACAAGTCAATTTTTGGATGGGCATCTTAATGACCAAGCAGAAACCTTCTCTCGTGTTCATTTCATCTGCTTTACTTTGATTTCACATTGCTGATTTTTTACGGAATCTGCCGTGTTTCATATAATCCACAAACTCACCACAGGCTGTGTACAACAAACATAAATATTAATCCTGCAATATTACAGATATCTTTTATAAAAAACAATGTAATCAGCTTGAATGGAGTTTGACCAGTAAATAGTTTTTTTTTCATTTGTCCTGAAAGCCAGAAAAAGCAAAGTAATTCTCCTGCTTCTTTCCAATCAAGTCTTTTGAAAGCCATTGGTTAATCTTATTTGCAGCAAACAATGCTGCATCAAATAATTCACTAAACTATCTGAAGGATAGTGAAAGAGTACTGTGAGAGGGAACGAATAATAGGCAATGAACATTACTGGTGTCTTCCTCTTTAGTCTTATTGGTTTGATGTTCATCAGACTACAACAACAACAACAACAAGATTCCATTTATATTATTATTAGTCAAGGAGGTTCAAAATTTGAATAACAAATAAGACACATGAAATGTACAGCTATAACTACACATAAGATGCCTTTATATTGTTTTAATGTAATGCCTCTCACAAGCACTTAAGATTGCAGCCAAATACCTCCGGAGAACAAAACAATTCCTAACAGAAGCTCATTACGAACATTAAAGCTTTCTTCACACGCCATAGCAGCTTATGTTAAAAATCTCCAAATTTGTTTTAATTGATATGCTTGGTGTGAATAGTTACTGTGTGCGGATGTTATTGTGTCTATTATAAATTCCGTATTGAGTTCTCAAAGAAGCCCAGTTGTGTTAGCAATTCTGATTTATAAAATCGCTTGAATGGATTTTATTTATCCATCTATTCACTCACTTTTTTAGGTAAAGATTTGGTGCCAAATTACTCATATTAATGCATTACATGTCAATCACTAGACTTGATGGAGATTACAACTCATTCTGTTACCTCCTTAGGTGGTGTGAAGTGAATGTTTTGTGAACGCCACTTTTCTGTGACACCAGATATGCCATTGCTCACCTGCTGTTGTGGAAGAGTTGTAGCTTATATCCATGAGAGCAGATGTAGTCAGCTTGTCAGAATTCAACTGAACCTCTGTGGTAATAATAATAATATTTTTATTAATAAACACAATATGTTTGAACTTCCTAAAATAACTACTTTTTGCAGGAGGTTGATATTTTGTTCATCGGGTATTTTGTCAAGCCATTTCTGAATAGTCTTATTGTTTGTTTCATACTGACACATATATCCACATTCAATTTGTAGATTGATATATTTTCTGAACTCTATTTCTTTATTTCTTACATTGCAATTACGTGGGATAGCCACATCAATAATACTACATGTTAATACCAGTAATCCTTGCATTTGGTGTAACTCTTTTCATGTAGGGAAAATGTTTCCCAAAACATTTCACAGGATTTACTGTGTTTGTAGGTGATCGTGGCAGCCCAATTGCGCACAGCAAGGCCCCACAAGCAGCCATGAATAATGAATAATATTATTTGGGGGATTGTTGGCCTAAACACCAGGAGAAACTCTCTTCTCTTTAGAATAGTGTCTTGGGATCTTAATGTTGACTTGAACAGGCAGACGGCACCTCAGTTTAATGTCACATTTGAAGGATGGAACCTCCGAGTGCCAGCAACCCAGCCAGGCTGATACAATTAAAAGAAAAGGTCATAAATATCATTATTTGGCATTCTTTTCTGAATCTCAGTCTTGTTCCCATTTAATAATAATAATCCTTGCATTTGATATAGCTCCTTATCATGTCTTCGAATTGTCTCAAAGCGCTTCAAATATATAATACACTGAAAGCCGTTTAAACCAGGCACATCGGGACCATACATTTTGTCCGATTTACCAGGCGTCCAGAGTTAACCTGCATCTGGCTAAAGCGGTTTCCACAGTATTATTATAATAATAATCCTTTCCAATCTCTTCTAGCCCATTTATATCAATGCACTGAAAGTCAGCAGGTCTGTGCACTACTAACATTGGCATCAGTGCACTGAAGGAATGAGTCACACAGTATCAGGTTTTCCTGCTCCCCAATGAGGTCAGTCACCTTTAACTGCACATAATTAAGGCAGGAACGGTGAAACACACATTGTTAATACCAAAATTGCTCAATTTCATCAATATGGTTGGAGGCAAATTTTCAACATCTTACCCTCTGAAATTACCTCTTCACATTCTCCAACTCTGACAATACAGCATAGTTGCAGCACTACATTGAAGTGTTATCTTAGACAATATGTAATTCAAGACCCAACATGGGGCTTGAACGCAGAATCTTCTGAACTCAGAGATGAAAGTGTTATGAACTGAACCAGCCTGACACAAGAAGATGGAGCAAGGAAACAACACAATTGCTTTAAAGCATCTTATCTTTGCAGAGAGGAAATTGTGCAGATTTCAAACAAACCACTTTACCAGTTGATGCTGCTCCATTTGTAGTAGGTAGGGAGGCTGTCTTCTGTTCACCAGCTGCAGTGGTAGTTACTGTAATAAGAGGAGAGCAAATTGAAAGTTTATCAATCCATTTTAATGTAAAGTAGATCACCAAAGTCAGAGTTAGCCAGATACTGGCACACACGGAGACAGAAGTGTGCAGTATACGTGCTACTATCATCTCTATCGTGCACATACTTAGCTTTCTCTGCAACAGCTTTGAACCTACCATGAGGCCTCAGCTCAGTCTTCCTTTGTTCATTGGATTTCCTAGGCCACAGACTACTATTCTCAGAGTGAAGAGATGCAGGTACAAAGCACCTTCAGCTTTATATTCTTGCATCTTCTTGCACTTATATAATGCCTTCCACGCAGGGTAGCGTCTCAGAGCACTTAACAGTGGGGGAACCTGGTCACAGATAGAGAGGACTTTGACAAGCACTGTGACTTTGACAAGTGCTGTCTCTCTGCTGTGGTCAGGGTGAAAACCAGACTGCAGGGGCTCGAGGAGGGAGTGGAGGGAAAGGTGTGACCCAAGTTGACCTGCAACAATGCGTTCTGGGTCATTGGCAAGGGAGGGTAGGTTGGAAATGGGATGGTAGTGTGAGAGATTAGAGGGATTGAGGGTGGGATTTTTGAGGAGGGGTGTGATAACAGGGGTTTTCAGTGGGAGTGGAATAGAGCCTGAGGAGAGAGATTGGTTGACCTTGTCGGCCAGCATCGACGAGAGGAGGGGGAATTCAGTGACCAGTAGCTGGGTGGGGAGGGGGTCGAGGCAGCAGGTGGTGAACTTCATCTGGGTGATTGTGGTTGAGAGGGAGGAGGGAGAAATGGGGCAAAGGAGTGTAAGGAGGGGGGAATGGCAGGAGCCATGGTGGAGGGAGAAGGCAGTGTGGATGGTCTGGGTGGGGTGGAAGGGTATTGGTGCGGGGAGAGGATGATGCAGCCAAATGGATGTTTTCAAATTTTGAAGCAAAGAAGTAGGACTTCTTCTCACTTGGCGTTTGATGTGAAAATAGAGGGGGCTTGAGGGGGTGCACGGAGGAGGTGATGGACAGTGGAAAACAGTGCCTTTGGATTGTTGTTTGTCTCCAGGATGACTTTGGAGTAAAAGTCAGTTTTGGCCTGTGAAAGGGAGAGGCGCGAAGTGCAGAGGTGCTCAAGCCACAGCTGACAGTGAATCGTGAAGCCAGATTTCTGCCATCTGCACTCGAGCATCCGGATTAGGGTTCCTAAGTCCTCCCTCTTGTCAATCAATCAATGGCTGTCTGCCTGGCTCAGTCAGTAGCACCTAAGTGAGGTTTCCTTTGAGCTGATCTGGTGACATGTTTGGCAATGGAATTTCAGAATCAAGATAGTCTTCTGTGGTCGTCTCAGGGATCCCATTCCAAGGCCAGGAGGGTTCACAGTATTCCAGGGCACTGCTGATGACAGCACAGCAAGCCTGGCTCATCTTCCCCACTCAACGCCTGTTAACCCCGCAAGCCAACGCCCTAACGGGTGGGTTGCCCTAGCTGGACAAGCAGCAGGAAAGCTTACCAGGCAGTGATCTCACAGGCAAACTATGTAGTTTTAGGTGGTTAGACTCCAGCAGTTACCCCAGCACACACTCCGGGGTCCCCAAACCTTGGCTCTTGCTAATTTGTGCCTCATACTTTCTGGAATTAGATAAGCAGGATGAGCTAATAAATATCTCCAAAATTTCCATGTATAGGTGGGATGTATGGAATTCTCAGTTTGGTGTGGGATACTCTTAAGCATGGTAATGGTTTGCGGATGTGCTGGATACTTGTCTGACAAAAAAAATATGCCATTCTCTTCTCTGAGACAGAAGTTGTGGGTTCAAGTTCTACAGGTTAACAGAAGCTGAGTGGGATGACTCCCTTTCCCCAGTGACTGGTCTGCCCTTTTAAGTCCTGCTGATGAGCCAGCCTGGTTGTGCTGTTATCAGCAATGCCCTAGAATACTGTGGAATTTTAACCTCACAGTCTTGGCTGACACTTCGATATAGTGTAGGGGTGTGCAATATTGTTGGAGGTTCTATCCTTCAGATGAGATGTTAAACCGAGATCCTGTGTGTTGTGGCAGCCATGTTATACACAGCAATGTCCCACAACAGTCATTAAGCGAATGATTAATTATATTTGGGGAATTTAGGGTCACATCACTGGAGGAAACTCGTTGTCCCATGGAATCTTTAACGTCCACCTAAACAGGAAGGTGGGATCTCAGTTTGACTTATCATCCAAAGAATAGCAATTCTGACAACACAGCACACCCACAGCACTGGGTTGCAGTGTCAGCTTGGACTGTGTTCTCATTAGTGACGCAGACACCATTCAGAGTAGTAGTTGATCGCATAGTTTGATATCATTCAATTTCACTTGGGAAATGGCACAAGCACGCAGTCACGCAACCAGACGTTAGCATATTTCAACTGAACTACTTCATCCAAACCGATCTTATGATCTGTGAATGGTACATTAATGAGCTGCTGTGTAAAATACACATGGGAAAAATAGGGTACTATTTACTTTTTAGTGCATTTATCTCATTGTTTGTGTGGCATTAATCCACAACTGTTTGTGAGATACTGCTGTGCATAATTGGCTGCCGCGTTTCACCCACAAAATATACAGTCAATTCACTTCACAGTATATTCTGTGAAGTGCTTTGATACATCTCAACAACATGATAAAGCGCTATATTAAATGAAAGGATCATCATTATTATTAGAGGTGCAGGCACTGATGGTTCTGTGCCACGTTTTATCCACCCACCACTTTGTGGAGACCTGTAGCTTAGTGGTTAGAGCACTCGCCTCGCAAAGTGAGGCAGGGTGAAACATTGGGCAAGTTTCCTTACTCCACACACCTGTGGTTACCTAGCAGTAACCCGGTTGCTAGTCGATTGACAGGACACTTTTCCAGGGGTAATAATCCCTTCTAAAAAAAACTAATAATAATCTGGTCACTCAATCTATATCAAATGCAAGAATTATTATTTTCCTTTTCACAATTTTATTGAAAACGTATCCAGAGCAAGAGAACTGGCATCCAATATATTATCACAAGCATAGAGTCCCTCAGTCAAACAACTATTATCGGAACACATTACCATGCATTCCAGCCTGCATTCAATATCAACTCTCTGCAGAAGCAATGGGAAATGGTATCAAGGGCTGAGATAACTGGCAAACTATAATGAAAAAGCAACAATAATACCACTTTGAATTTTCAAGCCTCACTCTGGTGACCAATTGGTATTATATTGAAGCCTCGCTTCAGGACTTGTATTCAAGATGTATTCAAGCCGCTCATCAGGATTGGAGCTCACAATCTAGGCTGAGACACCAGTGCAAAACTGAGGGAGTACTGCATTTTGGAGGTGTCGACCTTCAGATCAGATAATACTTGAGGTCCAATCTGCCTGTTGAGATGATATTAAAGATTCCATAGCACTATTCGAAAGATAAGGGAGTTTTGACCAGGCAGTCAAAAATGGTCATTCATGTCATGGCTGTTTGTGGGAGTTGCTATGCCAAAATTTGACTACTATGTTCCCTGTAAATTACATAATCACTTCACTTTTCAGAAAAAACCTCTTCGAAATGCTTTGAGACATTTTGATTTGATAATAATAACTTGCACTTATATTGCGCTCTTCAGAAAGCTTCTCGGGGTACTATGGTACAATATTAAATGCAGTGATTATTTATTAAAATCTGTGTCTCTTTTGGATAACCCATTAAACCAAACAAAATGAAACTATTAATCTTTCTCTGCCAGGCCTGGGTAGGGCAAGTTTCCGCTAAATCTGACATTCCTAGTTAATACTGGTGGGTAGTGGTTTTCTTGATGTGACTGATGAATCAAAGTTTATTTTTGGTGAAAAACAGGCAACAACTGATAGTTTTGGACAGCAGCCAGCAGAACAAACTAAATAATAATAATAATCCTTGCATTTGATATAGCGCCTTTTCACGTCTTCTAGACGTCCCAAAACACTTCACAGAATATACTGTAAAGTGAATTGACTGTACATTTTGTGGGCGAAACGCGGCAGCCAATTGCACACAGCAGTGTCCCACAAATAGTCGTGGATTGATTGAACAAATTATTATTATTTTATTAGTTCTTTTTAAGGGATCATTACCACCAGATATGCGATCCACCAATTGACTAACAACCGGGTTCCTACTTACCGCTAGCTAAACAAAAGGCATGTGGAGTAAGGAAACTTGCCCAACATTTTGCCCAGCCCGGGAATCAAACATTTTTCAGGTCCTCTCACTTGGGGTTACCAATCTCACTGTTAAGATTAGGAGCTGATGGAAGTGAACAGGATGAAGACAAAATACTAGTTCTTTACTACGACAAGCATTCACAAAGGCTGCTCGTTTAAATAATGCGTGCGATTGTTCCCTTGTTAACTAAACTAAACCAAGTAGAACAGGACAGACAACTCGCTCACTTCAATTCGAAGCAATTCTCTCTCTCTCTCATTAAAATAGGATATTCACTCACTTGATTCATCCCAACCCATGCTAGTTAATTCTACCGTTCCCCCAAGTGTGTATGATTTGAGGCCTCAAAATTTGACGGCATCAAAAATTCACAAATACGGACACAATGTATCTTTCTCCCCACCTCCCCCCCAAAAAGAAACACCCCATTTTGATAATTTCTGGTCAACAATCCTGCATTTGCATTTGTGACCAATTTACAACTTCCCTCAATTCTTTCCCTTTCAGGAGACTTGCCAGTGAAAGGCAGAGAGTTGAGTTAAACAGTTAAACAGTTAAATAGCATCTATCGGGAAAGGAAAGTGAGTCCAGGACCCTTCGCCAGAACTCTGCGGTAAATGGAATCTTAATTGTGTTCTAACGAAGGGTGGTGGACCCGAAATGTTGACTCACTTTCCTTTCGCCATAGCTGCTGCCTGACCTACTGAGTGTTCCCAGCGACTTCTGTTTTTGTTTCAGATTTCCAGCATCTGCAGTACTTTGCGTTTTGTCAAAGAGTTAAACAACTGTTTTGGGAAAAGCAGGAGCAAAATGGAAATGCACATATATAGCAGAACAGCTATGTGGCATCAGTTCAGTTATATTTGATCCTTTCTGTACTGAGAGCAGAGTAATATCTTGGCTTTGATCGGAAGTAACGCTCATGATGTTTGTCTGACAAAACAGGAAACAGTTGTTTTTACTCCCTATCAGCAGGGCCACCTTTGCCCTGTGAAGCAAATGCCCATTATATTGAATTGGTGCGCAGGCAGTTTCAGAGAAAGTAACAACAACATATTTGTAGAATACAGAAAAATAAACTACATCAATTTATGGTACCTTTAAAATCTTTATGTGCCACATTGGGACTAAAATTCCATTTTGTTTAAAGTGTCAGCCTTGGCTATGTTGATAACACTATTATTTCTGAGTCCAAAGGTTGGGGATTCAAGACTCATGTCAGGACTTTGAGCTCACACTTTGAGCTGACGTTCCAGCGAAGACCTGGCGGCGCACTTCATTTTTCTTCTAAATTATCCTAAACCGAAGTCCCCTCTGCCTGTTCAGGTGAACATTAAAGATCCCACGGCACTATTTGAAAAGAGAAGCATGTATCTTGGCAAAGATACACAGGTAATTGATAATTTACTCCATTGTTGTTTGTGGGACATTGCTGTGTATAATTTAACCTGCAGTTCCACCTAGAACATTATTACCTTTCATTGTTTATTCACATGTAGATTTCATAGGGTCTGTACTAACATTTTTCATGTTTTGCAACCAAGCAGCTAGGCTTGACATATAGTGTACTTGTTGTTTCTGAAGATGGTAATTGTGTGAGATGCCTCCAGGTTTGTCTTCGTCAGTCGGGTGGCTCCAAGCTTTTATTTTTTGTTAGCCGAGTAACAGTGTCTAAGAGTATCCAAACCAGACTGAGAGGTGACAATGCTTGGCAACGGATAGGAAACAGGATGTTGAGCTATGTTGTAGCTTCTTACACAGGTTGTAAAAATCTCTGGTCAGTATGCACCTCGTGTACTACATACAGTTCTGGTCATTGCTACATAAAGGAGTTGCCCAGCCCCAGAGACAGTGCAGAGGAGAGCAAGAAGGATGATCCCTAGTGTAAGAGGAATGAGCTATGAGCGTTGCCATCTATTGTAGAATCAGAGAAGTCTCCTTGTGTCAATGCATACATCAACAACAACAACAATAAAATCACATTTGTATAGTGCCTTTCACGTCGGGAGGACGTCCCAAGGTGCTGGACAGTCAGAGTTTCGGATCTGAACTGGGGATTGGGATTGGGGAGGGTGGAGGGCAGTGGGGGAAGCAGGGAGATCGAAAGCACGGTCGAAGAGGAGGGTTTTTGATGGGTCTTGAAGGAGGCAAGGGAGGGGGCGAGGCGGAGGGAGTGCGGGATGGAATTCCAGAGGTTGGGGGCAGAGTGGCTGAAGGCCCGCCCGCCAATGGTGGGGCGAGCAAGGCGGGGGATGTGAAGCAGGCCGGAGCCCGCTGAGCAGAGGCAGTGAGCAGGATGGTAGGGAGTTAGGAGTCACAGATGTAGTTCTTTCCAGATTTAGATAAGCAGGATGCAACAACAACTTGCATTTACATAGCCCCCCTAACGCAGGGTAGGGTCATGCAGTGGCGGAGCACGACACCGAGCCAGGGCGAGTGGGGAAGTGACCATAGGCAAGGTTGAAGAGGAACGTCTTCAGGCATGTCCTGAAGATGGGAAAGGAAGGAGCAAAATGGAGTTAGATGAAGAATGTTTCAGAGTTTCGGGGCACAGAGGCTGAAATAGATCTGGGAGCCAGGGGAGCCTGGCTAGTACTATTTGAACTATTTGGTGTGATGGGGGAACGGGGTTTAGTATGGGTGAGTATGTGGGTGGTGGAGTTTTGAATTAACTGGATCCTGTGCATGGTGAAGCTGGGGAGACTGGCAAAGAGAGAATTCGAGAAGTCGAGTCGGGAGGTGACAAACACATGGATGAGTGCTTCGGCTGTGCCTGGACAAAGTATGGTCGGAGGCGGGCAATGTGGCGGAGGTGGAAGAAGGCGGTCCTGGTCAGAGACCAGATGTGGGTAAGGAAGAACAGCCGCAGGTCGAACCTGATGCCTAGGTTGCGTTCCGGTTTGGTGAGTCTGAGGGAAAGGCTGGGGAGGTTGAGGAGGTTCGAGTCGCAGGACAGAAGATATTGACTGGGCCAAGGAGTATGGCTTACGTCTTGTCAATATTTAGGTATAAGACATTTGTGCTCATCGAGGCCCTGATGTCTGCCAGACAAGCCGACAGAACATCGGTGGACCTGGGGTCGTGGCTGGAGAAGAAGTAAATTTGTGTATCATCTGCACACATGTGGAAGTTTACCCCATGTCTACAGATGACATTGCCAAGATAGAGCATGTAGATGAGGAAGAGAAGGGGGCCAAGGATGGAGTCTTGGGGTACCCCGCAGCTGACGGGGCAGGAGGCAAAACTGTTTGAAGTGACAAAATGGAGGTAATTTGTTAGGTACAACAACAACAACAAAATTACATTTGTATAGCGCCTTTCATGTCGGGAGGACGTCCCAAAGCGCTGGACTGTCAGTGTTTTGAACCGAAACTGGGGGTCGGGATTGGGGAGGGTGGAGGGCAAGGGGGCGGGGGGCAGAAGGGTGATCAAAGGCACGGTCAAAGAGGAGGGTCTTGAGGTGGGTTTTGAAGGAGGCAAGGGAGGGGGTGAGGTGGAGAGACTGTGGGATGGAGTTCCAGAGGGTGGGGACAGAGTAGCTGAAGGCCCGTCTGCCAATGGTGTGGTGGGCGAGACGGAGAATGCGAAGCAGCCCAGAGCCTGCTGAGCGGAGGGAATGGGCAGGTTGTAAGGGGTTAGAAGGTCACAGCGGTAGGGGGGAGCAAGGCCATGGAGGGCTTTGAAGATAAGGACTAGGATCACGGAGCCTAGTGCGGGAGAGGACATGGGCTATAGAGGTGTAGATAATCTGCAGCGTATGGTGGGAGGAGTTGGGGAGGCCGATAATCAGGGAGTTTGCATAATCAAGGCTGGATGTTACGAATGCATGTATAAGGGTTTCAGTGGTGTGAGACACTGGTGGAGCCGGGCAATGTTGCGGAGGTGGGGGAAGGCAGAGCGGGTCAAGGCACGGATGTGGGGTAGAAAAGATAGTTGACGGTCAAACAAGATGCTAAGGTTCCGGACTGGCTCAGTGAGGTGGAGTGTGCAACCGTGGATGGTGATGCTGTCAGCGCCTGAGGTGAATCAGGAGAGCCTCGGTTTTGTTGACGTTCAACTGAAGAAAGTTACCTCTCATCCAGGACTTGAACCAGGCGAGTGCAGTCCCACTTAGGTAGATGAGGAAGGAGAGGCAGTGGATGAGGATAGTGTGATCGACTGTGTTGAACGCGATGGAGAGGTCTAGGAGGAAGTCTCTCCAGGGAGATAGTGTGCGTTCCATTCCAACAAATTAGCTCTGGAATTTCCATGTGCAGGTGGAAATCTCAGCTTGGTTTGGATACTCTTAAGCATGGTGATAGGTTTCCGCATGTGTCAGACACCCGGCTGACCAAAAAAAACTGTGACAGGCTGACACCTGATACCTATTATATAAAAAATCCAGGGACTGACTTTGAGCGCTCAGCTGTACTTTGCAGAGCTATTTCTTCTTTCCTGTCACAACATGTGTAAATGGCAATTGTCAGAGTCTGCATTAAATACTTATTGCACTATGGCACTGAGACAACATATCCCCGTATGAGGAATCTTATTAAAGTGCAGGTTGAGAGTGAGTACACTCTATCCACGTGCTGTTCTCACACAACAACACTGCTCTGAATCTTTTCTGTCAGTGCATTCAACTTTTAGTTATTTTGTATTTAAAACAAGAAAAAAAAAGTAAAACATGTAAGAATAATACTGAGCGGGAAGAGAAGGAGAATGAAGGAAAGTACTGTTGATCCAAAGTAGTTTGCCTAGGAACAATAAAGCAGAAATTCCATAGACTGAGAAAAGCGGACAGCTGGAGATCAGTGCAGCAGATGCCAACCTCAGTATGATAATAATAATTCTTGCATTTGATATTATGTTTTATTACATTGTCAAAATGTTTCAAAGCACTTCACAGAATTTACTGTAAAATGTAGCGAGTAAATTTGTATGCAGATGTGGCAGTCAATTTGTGTGCGGCAGTGTCCCATAATCAGCTATGAAGCGAATGATCAATTTTATCTCCCTTCACTTTTCAAACAGTGACATGGGATCTTTAACGTCTACCTGAACAAGCCGACAGGACCTCGGTTTAACATCTCACAATAATAACTCATCTCTGAGAATGCAATGCTCCCCCAGCACTGCGTTGGAGCGTTAGCCTGGACTTTGAGAGTTCAATGGTTTGCCTCGGAATACTACCAAATGAGCCAGGATGACAGCCTAAGATCTCTTTAGGGTCTAATCTTGTGCTCTTCTTAAATGTGCAAACAGTTAGAAATTAATTTGTGATCACCAATGTGAGTAAGAGGCAATGGAAGTTCATAAAGAATCTGATCTTGTAGAATTGCAGTCAGAACCTCGGTTGAATTTGCAGGGATTGTCCAGTAACTAACTACATACAGCCTGCGATCAGAATGTGAAGACTGCAAATTAAATCATTACAACTCCTCATTCACCCACAACAATAAATGCCTATAGACAGTAGCATTGCAGTTCTAATAATTGATGCTTAGTAGCTGGAGAAACAACTGAAAGGAAATAACTGTCTTACCTCCAAACAGCTCACAAGAACTTAGAAGCAAAAGAACAGCAAGAGCTAAGGACTTCATGATTCTGTGCCCTTGTCCTGAGAGCCAAATGTTGCTCTTTTCCCAGTGATGTAATGTAGAGTAGCAGAAAAGCTTCAGCACAAACCCTGGCCACTCCTGATTATTTTGGGACTTCCTTTGATAAAGAACAGAGGAAATACACTTATTCCCACTGAGAATTCAGCTGAAGGAGTATTTCTGCTTAAGCTTTTTATGGTTCGTTTTCTCTCCGGGAGAGTTGTTGTGGATCAGAAAGGGGCTGTGATTTTTTTAAACTAAGGATGGCAACTGCAGCAAGTACATATTCTGACAATACCCCTCGGCTCATTATACGCCAAGGTCTTTTAAAATCCAATTAGTCGCAAAGTGTATGTCAAAAGAAAATACATGAGCTGCACTTAAATACTAAACTTCTAATGTTACATAAGATCCCTTTTGTTGCATGTAATGGTAATGTGGGTTTTGTAGGCTGTGCATAATGTCTTGACCTAATGAGGTGAGAAATATCTAGTCAGTCTGGCCTTTCAGCCCAGAGTTTCGCAGATTGAATTCACTTGGCTAAAGTTTACTTGGCTGTCACTGAGAGCAGAGCACAAGCAATTGCTTGATACTGTCCATGGTTCTCCCCCTGCCCCTAAAACACTGGATAAACTGAACTGTTACATCTGCTTCAACAAATTCCAGGCTTAATTGTTTTTAATTGTAGTGACCTAATTATTTCATGCCATGGCAAAAAAAACATCTGATTATGTGGGAAGAGAGAGGTACTGTCTGCCTACATTAGTCCTGAACGTTGCTTCAAACTGACCGTACAAACTTCTGACCCAGCCTGCAAAGATGGTTTAACCCTTAGAGAAATGGTGTAATGTATCCAGGCAGATAATATTCACATTTACTGGATAATAATAAATAATAATCTGTGCATTTGATATAGTGCCTAACCATGTTGTTGGACCTTCTCAAAGCGTTTCACAGGATTTACTATAAAGAACAGTTCCTTGTATTTGTGGACGAATGCAGCAATCAATTTTCACGCAGCAATGTCCCACAAACAGCCATGACCATTTTATTTCATGGATAACTAACCAATGACAACTTCCTTCACTTTTCAAGTAGTGCCATGGTATCTTTAATGTCCAACTTAACAGGTAGATGAGACTTACATTTAACGTCTTATCCGAAGAGCAGCAACTCTGATAATGCAGTACTGCCTCAGCACTGTATTGGAGTGTTTGCCTAAGACAGTGAGTTCAAAGTCTTGATGTGGGGCTCAAACCATACCCTTCTGACTCAAAAGCGAGAGAGATGCCAACTAAGCCGGGCTAACGCCAGTGGTGGATATGAAGAAATCTATTTCAGACACATACATTTCTCAGATCCTACTTTTAAAATAACCAGGAATATATTTAGTGCCCTTTTTTCCTGTCTGTGTTCCTCAGTCAATATTGCCTCAGTGTTCAATTAGCAGACCCTGAGGAAGACAATGTGCCTGTGAATACACGATGGACATTGATTTATTGAATTACTTTGTACCAAACAGGCTCTGAAACTGTTCACGTGCACCAGAAAGAAAAACATGGACAAAGGTCACTCAAAATGCTACCCAAATTTTAGCAAGTGTCTGAAAGGAGGTTTTCTGAGCAGTGCTTTCATACAACTTGAGAACTGGCAGCATGTCTACACCTGAATTTGCAAAGCTTCGTAACTACAGTATCTCTAGTGGCGATAACTGAAACTATGAAACAGCATTTGCAATATTCAATATTAAACACTAAATGACCACTAGGAGACAGCAGCCATCCCAGAGAGCGATCTCTCCTAACTATAGAACTTGAATTTAATTGTACATTGTAGATTAGGCTCAAGGAGGAGATAAAATCTATGCCCTTTCTGGGTTCCAAATTAGTCTTTACCATTCCAGTGGCCTAACCATGATAATTGACACCACAAATTCCTATGAAACAACACAGAGTTTACCCCTATTTGTGAGTAACAATATAACTGCCTCAAACACCTTTACATTGTAGTTTGAGTATATTTATCAGTCTGACAGTGATCTTGCCTCTGAGTCAAAAGGTGGTGGGTTCAAGTTCCCTATCGCAACTTTAATCTCACAAGTGAAGGTTGACACTCCAATGCAATGCCAAAGGTGTGCTCATTGTTAGAGATGCCATCCTTCAGTCAGATGTTAAAACTGATGTCCTGTTTGCCTATTAGTTGCTTGTTAAAGATCCCATGGCGCTATCTGAAAAGAGAAGGGAATTTCTCCTGATATCCTGGCTAACAGTCAATTAAAATTGGCCACTGATTTCATGGCTGTTTGTGAAACATTGCTGTGTGCAAATTGGCTGCCTCCAATACAACTACACAGTCAAGGTAAGATCCCTTGAAGCGCTTCGAAACATCTTGACAGCGTGATCCAAGTAAAATGCAAAGATTATTATTATAGAGCCTGGGGTATTTCAAAGTCTGAAACAAATGAATCTTTATTATGAAGAGGTAAAATTGAGATTGTTCAGGCAAACTCAGTTGGAGTTTGAGCCCAAGTCTGTTGTAAGATACAACTGATTGTCATGCAGCTCATGCAAGCAACAATGGAACAGTAATGATTCAACGGAAAGACAGCAGCACAAAAGAAGTGAAGTGTCTGTAGCAAATTAGTCACAAACTCCACATCCAATCTTTACAACGTGAGCAATTTTCAAAATGTCCTCACATTGGACATCTCTCTCAAATAAACCAGATCTGTGCTGACTTCGGGTGAGGGGGTGGGGAAATTGACATTTTCACATCAGGTGGACATCTCAAAGCACTTCAGAGATATACTGTAAGGTGCAGTGACTATGTGTTTTGTGAGCGAATATGTGTAGAATGATTCTGTGCATCACAAGCAACCTGCATGGTTATGGAATGGTGCCCTTTGTGAGTCTTATACTGGGATTACAATAGTGTTAGTAAACATATTTTCACATGTTTGTAATCTGTTACATCTAAGAAATGGTGAAAAATTGGTGCTGTGTGAACGCTTTCTGTTTAGCCTTAAGAAAATAGATGACTCTGTAATGATTCTTTTATCCGCAGTACATTTGTTACCTCTTGGATGCTATTAAAAGTTAAACACCTACACAATGCCAGTATAATCATACTTGTAGCCCCAAAACGGCCTCAGGTTTAGAAATTAATGTTTACAGTTTCGATGCAATTTGCTGACAGCAGCAACTTGCACTGAATAATAATAATACTTGCATTTGATATAGCATTTTTCACTTCTTCTAGATGTCTCAAAGCGCTTCACAGAATATATTAGCACCATTCATGCAGGAAAATGGCTCAAGCTGCTTCACAGAAATAGAGTAGGAGCTCAAGCAGGGTGGGAAATAGGGGCATTAGTAGGGAGGTGTCCAAAGCACAGCTAAAGAAATAGGATTTCAGATGGGTTTTGAAAGCGAAGTGGGAGGGCACAAAGTAAATCAATCTAAGGAGAGAGTTTCAGAGAGCAGGCATGGTGGCTGCAATCTCACCCACCAATAGTACGGTGGAAGAGAGACTACATGTCTGAGAAGAAGTGGATGGGTGAGTAGGACTGCAGGCGATCACAGAAATTGTATACGTAATGCTGCAACTTTCAAAGAGGATGATTCTAGAGTGCAATTCAGTGAGCACATCACATGACAGACACTGCAGTTCTATCAATGTCAAATAATTGATTGGTGACATGTAAATGAGGATCGTACGTGCTGCATTTCTGTTGTGACTTGGCTGCTGTAAAGCTGTTGCCAATACTAAAATTCTAATGAAATGAGAGACTTGGTGCTGTTCAATAACAACTGAAAAGGTCAGCATTCAATAGGAACCTATAACAACACACGCTGGTATTTCATGGAGAAAATGAGTGACTGTCTTATTTTAGTCAGGACTGCCCAATAATTGGTTTAATTGGTGCTTCAGTCATTGTGCCCTAATCTATTGTGCCTGTATTTAATTCACTGCGAAAATTGTGAATCTTCAATAATTCTGCCAAAAGTGCAATTAATGCAAATTGAACCCTATCCATCAGTCAGTAACTAATACCACTGTATACCATCTGTATAGATCAACTGTCAATCAACTTTTTGTATGATATAAACCATTGAAATGTGTTAGTTTATTGCCAAATGCATGTTAATATTATTTGTTCCTCATTCAATTAAACAGCTGACGCAGTAACAAGTAAAATTTTCACTGTCCGCAATTTCAGCCAAGGAATTAGAAAAGCTGCACATAGCACTTGGCTCATTCTGACAGAAATCAGTTTGTCTCTTGGCCTTTCATAGTAGTTAACAATCTTTTTGTTTTGTTTTGTTCTATTTACCCAGCATCCGAGGTTAACCAATGTCCAGTTGAAGGAATGATTCAATCCCTTCCATCTTTTATTATCAATTAACAATAAATGAGCAACATTGCTCAATTACAAATAACCTTTAAATCTATTAGACCTTCACACCCGTTGCCACTGAGCAGTTTCAAGGTATCTCATAAATCACTGAGCCAAAAGTACAAATCGTCAAGTGTTTACAGTTCAGAATGGAGCAAATATAACTCATTCTAAACATCATCACTTCCATGGAAAACTTTTTGTTTGGTATACTGTTAAAGGAAGTCGTATTATTTCCATGTCAAACTACTGCCAAAGATCAAAGGGACATGCTGGAGTTTAAGGGAAGGGCTCTTCCTGAAACGATCCTGAAAATGTGTTGGATGTGAATCAGTTCCTTCCACTGTCCACCACTCTTTGCATGGTCACACAAGCATTTTCTACACATGGGGAATATAGTGTTAATCATGTTATAAATAATAACAAATGCATGCAACAAATCTATTTTATTAAAAACATTAAAAACATAAAATTTCTTTTTATTCACCGATTACCCAGAAGAAAATATTGACCCATTCAATAAATTAGAAAGCTTGGTTACTAATCCTGCATGATTCTGACATATTTGATGAATTATGATCTTTTGTTTATTAGAAAACTAGTTGTATAAAGTCTGTAAAGTGTGAGGTGTGACAGCATGGCTCACTTGGAAGTACTTTGATCTTTGGGTCAGAAGGTTGTGAGTTCAACACCCATTTCTGGAAGGCCGGGGTCAAGTCTATTATTCCAGTGCAGAGCTAGGAAAATGCTATATT